CCTACCAGAGTGCACCCCTCCTCGTCTGACTCCGGCTGAGAGAGGTCTGACTCGCTCCTGGACTTCATGAGTCTGTAGCTCGGGCTGCTCTGCACTGAGCGGCTCTCAGCGCTCAGACTCTCGCTCCTTCAGACACAAACACAAACTAATCTTAAAGACGCAGCAACGGTTACAACTGTGACTGAACTAAACATGCACTGAACCCCAAAGATGATACATAAAAAAAGATGACTCACCATTTTATATAATTAATGTTTACTACGTCTCTGTATGTACAGAATATATTTGGACTATGCATAAACATTTACTACATTCATGCTAATATTACAGTTTATATATTTAACAATTACTGTACGTCTTCTAAAAAATATACATTATTGCATTTTATATTGTGTTATAAATAGGGCTGTTTTTTTTTACACTCAAAGCTTCTATTCAAGTTCTCGAATTCATCTTTGAATGTTAACCTAAAAAATGTACAAGCCTTTTGTTATTGTAGTTATATAAATATAATTTATGTCCTGTTTGATTGCTGCCAGACTGATCCGTCTATTTCCTCTTTATAGTTTGGATAAACATGTTGTCAATTTCTATATTTTTTTCAATAAATGTTGACTTTTTCACACTCTGATCTACAAATATTAGAATACTAACATTATAATAATACTAATACTACTAACATCAGTGGAGCCTGATCTGTATATGCAACTGTGTACAAATACTACTGTAGGTTCAAACAGAATCAATAGACGTGCAAAAAAAAGAAGTGCGCAGCATTTAAATGTTGATTTATAATCTAAATGTCAACGTTATGAATGAAGCTTTAAACTATTAGCTACAGCCCTATATAGTGATTCCTATGTCTTCGCTTCTGAACTATTTCATGTCTTAGTTTTTCACTTCTGTGATTTTAAACTGTACATCAAACAGCTGGAAAGACGTCATTTTAATCCTTTTATAAAGCCTCAAGTGTCGGTAATATTTAAATGTTAAAAAGTCTCGCACAAACATTACACCGTTGTTAAATTAATTCTAATAAGCTTGTTTTTAACATGTGGAACTATCCTTTAATACTGTGCGGATACATTAGCTTCATTCTACATTAGAGGGATATTCTAACAGCACAAAATCACCACTGAAGAGGGAGTTCTGATGTGTCAGCCCCTCCCCCCTTCATAATGAATCTAGGTGCTCAGACCTGGTCATGAAGCTCAGACATTCCTGTGTTCCCGTGGCGGACTGGGTCTGGTCCTCCTCCTCCTGGATCTGCTTGGTCAGCTCCCCCAGCACAGGGCTCACCCCCAGCAGCAGCAGGGCACAGCGGTGGATCACAGAGTTACAGGCGGCCGTGTACAGGTCCTGGCCTTCTGGGAGACCCTGAGACAGGACGGTGTCCTCCTCTCCTCCTCCTCCTCCTCCTCCTCCTCCTCCTCCGGTCCTGGAGGCCGAGCCAGAGCCCAGTCCTGTGCTGCTGCTGGCCCGCTCTCTGTCCCGACTGCGAGCCACCTCCCGCGCTGAGAGGAAACATTGAAAGATTTCTGTGTGGTGCCAGATGCACATACACAAATAAAACACACACACACACACACACACACACACAAGATGCTGGGTTAGAGGATAAGCAGCAGCCGCACAATACACTCAATGTTGACGCGCTGCAAAGATCAGAACCAAAGCTCATACAAACGAAACGCATCACAAAACCTCCGAGCACACCTTGGACCTAAATTACAACAAGGATCTTACAATCAGACATCACCTTACAGACATCTACTGTATTTCCACCAAAAACCACTGGCGGGATGAAAAGCATGTTTTCTTTAAACACTCGCCAAAACAACACCGTTTATCAAAGCCAGAAGCTGTAAAAACACAATATTATCGTCAGATGTTCACCTTTTCGACAGTCCTTGAACACATCATGTGAGACGAATGCTTCCGTCAGAAAAGCAGCCAAAACGAAGCTTACATTTTTGACATTTAATTAAAAACATTGTATTCTTATGACTATTTAAAATCTCAACCAAAATAAACCGTTTGCTCTAAAAAACATTAAATTCTGTGCAGGACAGGAGAGGCCTCAAAAATGTAAATAGTTCAATTTGTATAGCAAGTGGAGCCTCCGTTTATTCTAACATTGGTAACACTTGTGGATGCTAAGACAGTCTACTTGTTTTCTTTTGACTTTTTTATGATTAATGTCCTTCTAACTGTTATTCTGCACTAAAGACATGTTCTCGTTCTCTCTACTTCTACTCATAATCCAATAACATCACGGAGGCTGCGTCCTCTGAACCAAGACGGAAAACTCTTTATTGATTCCACCAGTTGAACGGCAGCGGCGGCTCTTTCCGTTCTCACCTTTCACAATAAAAGCCCCAGACATACACACTGCATCACTCACTTACATTCACTCAGAGGTCACAGCACTGTTATAACTTATTTTTGCAAGGAATTTAAGTGTCAATCCTTCAGATTTCAGTTCCAAACTAACAGGTAATTCTTCCAAATTTTGTGCTTAGTTCCATTTTTTGTGTGTATATAATGAAGAAAAACTGTAATACAGCAGATTTTGCCGGGAATGTCACCACAAACACCCAGTTTTTATCACTGCAAATATATAAATACTGCAATACTTTCATTAATGGGCCATATGACTCAGTGATAGTGACTTAACAGACATTTGTCTCAATGAAAATCTTCTAATTGCCACTTTAAACGGTCATGAGCAGCAGTGTGACATGTGAGGATGGAGACTTATGAACTTACAGCTCATCTAAATTTACAGTTTCTGCAGTCCTGAAAGGTATGAACACACGTTGGTAAAATAATAAATCATTTTCAGCAGGTATCAATCAAGGCATTCATTTGGTTTTGTGACAACACAAGAGAACAGTATTGTTTACATCACTGGGATGCTTTGTCATAACAAAATAAATTGAGATTAGCATTGATTTTAGAATTTAACTGCACGTACATCATTAAATAAATATCCAAACCCCTGAAACTTCTGCACCTACATGACAACACACGATTGGAAGACTTGAATTTCGCCCAACACGATACACTGCCAAGCAAATTCAGCAGAAACTGATTGTTCAGCATTTTCACCAGTTTAATAACGACCGTCACAAAGCAGAGATGTGAATGAATGCGAGCAGGCGGGATAAAAGAAAGAGCCTTGAATGAACTGAGAGATACATGTTTTAAATGAAATACTAGCACACATAAAAAGTACAACTCCATGCAGGTGTACTCACTTCCAGCCGTCATTACTTCGTGTTCCCGGTCATCCTCTTCGTCGTCCTGTTCCTGATGCCCCTCCTCTCTCTCACGGTCGGCTCTCTCCTCTAGCTCCGCCTCCTCGTCGATGGTGCGCGTGAACGAGTTCTCCTGAGGGTCCATGTCGAGGGAGTCCTGATTGTCTGAAATCTGACAGAAATGTTACAAAATAACATCCATGAGTGGATTTGAAAATGATACAGAATGTTTTTGTGGTTGTTTTGTTATAGCAGCTAGTCTATAAGGCTCCACACTAACTATTCCACCACTGTCGTGAAAAATCATTCAAACCGCTCTGAAGCATTGTAAACTGTGGAAAACTCCAAAGCCTGAACGCATCATAACGTAATTGAATGGAACCTCCCTGCATTAGCCGTTAGCTGTGCTGCTAACGTAACTAGCTCTCCTCCTGCTGATCTAAACACGGATTTGTTCACATTATTCGTACGGATCAACTACGGCCCGTTACACCACTAATTCTATAAGAGGAGTCCGCGATAGAGTGGTATCTATCGGAACTATTTGTATGAGAAGACTTGTTTAATCTTCTAATTATAAAAAGCAGTTTGTGAGACTTTAAATGCGAACTCACCCTCCTCTCACGTGAAGAGGATCTGGTCTGGACGATGTCCATGTTCTTACAGGCCAGCAGGCGGTTCCGCACCTTGTAGACACTGCGATAGACCTCCGCCAGGGTCCTAGATGGTTGGTACCTGACGGGGAAAACAAAAATATACTTGTGACATGTGATTTTTAATCTATTCTGGCACTGTGGGACAATGTGGAGACCTTTAACACATCATAAATAGGATGTTACGGTACCTGCCCTCTCCACAGGCTTGGCCCAGCAGCCCTGTGTGCTTCAATAAGGCTGCCAACACAAACGTGGACACAGTGTCCAACAGGGACTCGTTACTGAGAGACGCATTGTCCCAGTCTGTAACAGAACACACAGTACAGTTCACTGTCAAGACTGACACCTCTGGCACAGAGACAATAGAATTCATTACATGCCGAGTCAAAAAGGGGACCTTTGCTCATGCCATAGTCCTGCATGTTGATCCAGAGGCTGTTGGCAGGTTCTTTAGAGGAACACAGCGCCAAATCCACCAAGACACTCAAGTCGGGACGCAGTGTGGAGTCAAAGGGCTTCTGCTCTTCGTCACCGGACAGTGCTGCCTCCAGCAATGAGCTGATGCACGAGTCTGAAAGACACAAGTGGACAAACATTCATCGTCTCAAGAATACAAGGGAAAAAAGAAGAAACACAAACTGCCCTCAACAGCTGAAAGGTTACTGCCAGTGATGAACATGTTAAACCCGGCCGTCACAGCACCGTACCCGCCCCCTCCCTACCGAGCTGTGGGATGTCCATTTCCAAGCCGTTGCTGAAGAGGGGAGTTTTGAGCCAGTAGGCGGTATCCTGCTCCTCCAGCGAGGTAGCAGCCCCCTGCAGCATCCCACCGAGGCAACGGCCCACGAGGAGGGCGACCGTCCTCTCCAGGTCCACGAGCCACACCCAGGAGAGCGCCGGCTGTGGCAGCGACATCCCCGAGGCCGGCTCAGCAAAGTCAGACGTACCTGGACAGTGAAGGTTGTGTGGTGGTGTAGGAGAGTATGAATGAAAGTTTACACTTTCAGGGATAATAAGGTCTTGGGAGCTCTACACAAGCTTTGATTTGTGCAGACTTACAGCCGTGAATTATATCGATATTACCAAACAGCTAATCAATGTTGATACGGTGTGAATGCTATTAGATAATAGAGAGATAGATACTTTATTCATCCCACAAGGGGAACTTTGTTCGTGTGATGATAGAGTACATGCTTTGAATTCCTTAGACATGTCTTTGCCAGATGATAAAACGCTCATTATATAAAGACGATATAGATTACAAAGCAGGGTCAGGGTTTCTTTAGCTTCTTGCTCACCATGCAGGGGCCACTGCAGCTCCTGGTCCTCCAGAGGGGAGGCAGCAGGCAGCAGCCTGTTGAGGCAGTCCAGAGGAGGCAGCAGGTCCAGCAGGTGGCTCAGCAGAGGCCTTGCCACCGACACCGGCAGCAGCAGCAACGAGTTGATGATCTGGCACAGCATGCTGCCTGCCGCCGACACGTAGATCACATCTGGAGATGATGGAGACACGGAGGTTGAAAAACACAGGAAATTATGAAAAAAAACAAAGAAATATTGGTTAAAAGGGTGAGAAAAGGGTCGGTAGAAATAAAAGATATGATAGAAATCCATTAATCCCAAAGGAAATTATTGATCAAAGATTACAACAGAAGAACAAGAAGAAAACAATAGAGGAAGACTATAAATATATATAAACAATAGAGTAATAAGTATTCAGTAAATGAGAAGTAATACTGACACCAGCACCTAACAGAAGCTCAAATAGACAATTGTGCACGATATTGAAAAGTAATAAAACGTTTTATTCCAGAGAGAGAGAGAGAGAGAGAGAGAGAGAGAGAGAGAGAGAGAGAGA